TATAAATGACATTAAAATTATTTTAGTATAATTTTAGCAAAACACAGCATTTTCATTTCATATTAGATGTGAAATATTTGGACTCAAAGTAAGAAGGTATTTAAAGAAATACTTTGATTTCACAAACTTTGAAGAAATGTTTATGTTGCATTTATCATTTACAAAAGCTAAGAACATTTTCTTTCAAATAATTGAAATATATGTTCAGAAAAATGAAAAAAAAGCAGAACAACACTTCTATGAGAACATCTTAGTGAACCAGAAAAGTTCTTGGAAAACATGAACTATTAGGTTTCTGATGAAGTTCAAGAAAGTCGATTCAGGTGGTTGAATAAGATGATTAATTAGGTTCAAAATGTTGTTTTGAATTAATGAATAAAATGATTGAATTTGCTGAAAACCAGATATTTAGGACTTTGCATCAATCAGCAGATGAGCTTTGGTATTTTAAGCTAAAAACTCTCCTCCATCACCTTCATTTGAGCTTTTTGATGCAGAGATTTATTGTTCATCAGAACTTTTAAATGTTTGGAAAGTGAATAATCTTCCTGTTTCCTTCTGTTCTGTAGATCAGCAGATATTATAGAAAGGGTTAAACATTACAGCTGCTGAGAAAAAGAAAAGTTCACATGAAGGAGTAAAAATGTTCTTGTTTTTCATTCACAGCTGATCTAATCTATGGAAAAGTTGGTGGCTCCATTATTCTGAATCCAGGTCAGATTTCAGAGCCTATTGAGACAGTGAAATGGAGGTACAAAGCAGAGCTTGCCTCAAAGGGTTCTTGGCAAAATATTCAAAAAGACAATGTTTTTAAAGGTAAGTTAACTTTAAAACCCAAGAACCTGCAGATTAACATCATCCATGATGTCTTTATCTGGATCCTGCTTCCAGGTCGCTGTGACTTTGATAAAACAAGTGGAAGTTTGACCATCAACAGTCTGACTCTAGAGGACAGCGGCAGCTACATAGTTGAGATCAACAACAAAGTTCTGGAGAAGAAGGAACTCCAGGTTATCAGTGAGTCTCTCAGAGATGAGAGGAAAACATTCCCATCTATTTATGCTTTATTTATGTTTTCACCTTCAGTCAAAAAAACACCAATTCCATAGATTGGGATTATCTGATATACAGAGAAGTTAACATGTTTTTACCTCCTAGAACATTTATTTTTCTGTACTTATTTTCATCCCACTTATATTTTTAGGTTCATCAAATAAATGTAAAATATCAGGCAAACAGAATCTGAATAAAGACAGATCTAGACTTTAACTAGGCCACTCCAATACCTTTACTGATTTTTTCTTTCATTTCATCATTCAGAGGTGAACTTCCTGGTGTCCTTTACTACGTCCTCCTGCTGCAGAAACCAAGGCAGTTAAGGTTTAAGGCTTCAAGCTGATGGCTGGATGTTTTCCTTTAGGGATTAACTGTAGAGAGCACAATTCATCTTTGGAAAACGTTTTTAATGACATTAAAATTATTTTGGTATAATTTTAGTAAAACACAGCGTTTTCATTTCATATAAGATGTGAAATATTTGGACTCAAAATAATAAGGTATTTAAAGAAGTACTTTGATTTCACAAAATTTGAAGAAATGTTTATGTTGGATTGATCATTTACAAAAGTTAAGAACATTTTCTTTCAAATAATTGAAATATATGTTAAGAAAAATGAAAAAAGCAGAGGAACACTTTTATGAGTACGTCTTAGTGATCCAGAATAGTTTTTGGAAAACATGAACTATTAGGTTTCTGATGGATTTCAAGAAAGTCGACCCAAAAACTCCTTATATCCTATTTGAAGCCATGAATCAGCTGGAATATACGGCAGGTGGTTGAATAAGATGATTATTTAGGTTCAAAATGTTGTTTTAAATTAATGAATAAAATGATTGAATTTGCTGAAAAGCAGATATTTAGGACTTTGCATCAATCAGCAGATGATCTTTGGTAGTTTAAAATAAAACTCTCCTCCATCGCCTTCATTTGAGCTTTTTGATGCAGAGATTTATTGTTCATCAGAACTTTTAAATGTTAGATAAGTGGATAAACTTCCTGTGTCCTTCTGTTCTGTAGATCAGCAGATATGATAGAAAGGCTTAAACATTACATCTGCTGAGAAACAGATAAAGTTCACATGAAGGAGTAAAAATGTTCTTGTTTTTCCTTCACAGCTGATCTGATCTATGGAAAAGTTGGTGGCTCCATTATTCTGAATCCAGGTCAGAATTCAGAGCCTATTGAGAAATTAAAATGGAGGTACAAATCAAACTCTGCTTTGCTGAAATTTTGGAAGGACATTGATCATAAAAGTTTCCAAGGTCAGTTGACTTGTTGACAGAACGTGTTTTATAACCCAAGAACCTGTAGATTAACATCATCCATGATGTCTTTATCTGGATCCTGCTTCCAGGTCGCTGTGACTTTAATAAAACAAGTGGAAGTTTGACCATCAACAGTCTGACTCTAAAGGACAGCGGCAGCTACAAACTTGAGAACAACAAAGTTCTGGAGATGAAAGAACTCCAGGTTATCAGTGAGTTCAGCAGGTTTGACTGAGGTTTGTTAGGTTTTAACCTGAATCAAGTTGAGATAATCTGTTCCTGTTTCTGTCAGAACCGGTCCCAAAACCCAGTGTGTCCATAAAGTACAACCATGAGAAGGATTCCTGGAGTCTCACCTGTGAAGCC